GGGGCTTACATTGCTTTGTTTTTTGTTTGTTTCAATTTCATCTTTTTTTGGACATTTACATTACAAGCCTGACTCCTAAAGAAATCCTCCCCCCACCCCAAGGTTTCTACATAAAGCTTAAAATAAAAATATTTTTAGGAAAGAAATAGAACTATTTTTATTTCCACTAAGATGTAAGTGAAATATACTTTTCTGAAAGTGAGTTTTCATGTGTGAAAGATAAAGAATTTGGGGACTTTGGGCTCTGAGGGGCAAATAAAGATAGTGTGTGCCCATTTCTGTAAGCTTTTCTAGCATTTATTTCCTGAATCCTCACAAAAACTCCTGCAGGAAAGAGCTCTTCTTCATGGAGGGTTGCCACATTGAGCAAACATACCGGACACCTATGACTTATTGTTTATCTGAAATTCAAACAGAACTGGCCCTCTATGTTTTACTTGATACCCTTGTATCATCATCATTTTGAAAATGGAAAAAGTGTAGCTTAATTGGTCATTCTACAACCATGCAGCAGTGTAAAAGAGTAGAGTTCAGTCCTCTGTCCCAGTTAACAAAGCGTATGTGCTCCACACCTGCTAGAGGAAGGGCAGAAAGGCCCTTGAAGTTAGACTCTGAATAAATCTGGAGAGTCAGCTGGGAAAGTGAGACTATGGTGCCATAGCAATTCCTAGAACTTTCTGGAGGCCGATTCTAATTACTCAGGTCAGACCATTGCCTATGGCCACCAATGGCTTTCACTTACTCTCACTGGCCATGCTGAGGGAGACACTTCTCCAGAGAGATTGATAACTAACCCCTGTTCTCTAAACCTGGCCCCAGTTTCTCTTCCTTGTTGGGTCTAAGTTCCCGGAAACAGAAACGCTTAGCAGCCAGATATTTAGGAGGGTGACAAAAAAATGATCCTCCACAACAACTTCCACAGATTTCACAATATTCCCAAGGACTGGCTTACTTGAGAGGATTTCCTATTCTTTCTTGGAATGATGGAATAAATCCAATAATAACTTCATAATTCCATGTGGATTTTCTGAGTTTTCATAAATAACTCTCTGCCTAATATGAATATTCTTACACTGTTACTTAAATTCTCCTCTGGCTATCTATAGCCTTCAGTTAGCCATTATCCTAGTTTGCATACTTCCAGACGCCAAAAATGACACAGAGATGTGAGAGCAAGTCATCTTATTTGGAAATGATCTCAATGAGTCGAAGGAATGGGGTAGTGAGAGAAGAATGGGAAAGAAGCCAATAAAAGATGGCATGTTCGTGGGCAGGTAACTTCTGCGGGCAACTGGGACTCAATCCTTCCAGGGAACACTGGGTGATCATATTAGAAAATGCTTCACTTACCCTGATCAAAGAAAGCCTGGGTATTTATCCACCTACTGCTGTACATCATTGGCTAGGGAACCATTTCCCTACTTCTAACACATCTATCCGTGGGCTCCTGTTGCAAGAGAAAATGTGAGGCAAAAAGTGGCAGGTCTGATGGAAATGGGAAGCAACAAGGGAATACCTCCAGGGCACCAGCAGCATCTACTCCAGGCATTCATTCTTTCCTTTCAAGTAACCCACTATCCCACAACCAAAACACACCAGCCAAGGAGTACTCGTAAGCTGATGACCATCAACTTTCTGGATATACCTAAATATTGAATAGACAACCTATAGTTAGTCTTTGAAACATAGGGGAAAGCTTAGAAACCCTTGAGAGAGGTTTCTAGTATAAATACAGAATAGAAACTCTGCAGATGCTGCCCTGATAGGAACCCAAAGGAGGATCCAAGATTTTTGAGGGCAGCATGTATACACTCCATTGTCTTCTCCAGTTCCTCTGTGACCTTGATGTCACCACCCTCTCTTTGTTCTGCTGGTTCCAACTTATCCAGATGTCTGTTGTGTAACTTACTCTCCTGAGAGGCCTGCTTTGCATGCTCCTAAAACTATAAATTAATTACTTCTAGGGGATCACAGTGGTCTTCTCCTTATGACACTTCCCAAGATTTTCTGAAATTAAGAGTTCTTCAAAGAGGTGAGGAGCCCAGATTCTGGAGACAGAATACCTGGATCTGAATCCCATCGCTATCACTTATAAACTGTGCATTCCTGGACAGGTTACTCAGCTGGTATGTGCCTCAGTTTCTCCTGTGTAAAATAGGTTTAATAATATGACTTATTTCTTTGGGCTGCTCTGAGGCTTCAATGTCATAATACTTGTAATATATTAAGAGTCATGTCTGGAACATGATAATTGCTTTTTAAGTGTTAAATAAATCTAAGAGGATAAGACTGTAATAGGCGTTTAATATCCTCTTATGGTTACTTCTTGAGGAAATAGTCCTACTCATGCTGTCAAATCACAGTTTCCTAGGAAGCTTTCTTTTCCTCTTTCTTCCCAGCCCAACTCCACAAAGAATAAAGACTGGTCTTGGAACCAACAAAAATGACTTGGAGAATAAATCTGTCATGGATTACCTATGAAAAACTGTTTTCTCTGGAACTCTAGCTACTTGTCCACAAAATGGGGACAGCAACACTTGTCAAATATCAAATAAAGTAGTATGTGTTGTGGTTAGGCTTTGTGTCTCCATCCAAATCTCATCTTGAATTGTAATCCCCAGGTGTTGAGGGAGAGACCTGGTGGGAGGTGACTGGATTGCAGGGGCAGTTTCCCCCAGGCTGCTCTCATGATAGTGAGTGATTTCTCACGAGATCAGATGGTTTCATAAGCATCTGGCATTTGCCTGCTTACACTTCTCTCTCCTGCCGCCATGGGAAGAAGATTGTTGCTTTCCCCTTGCTTTTCACCATGATTGTAAGTTTCCTGAGGGCTCCCCAGCCATGTAGAACTGTAAGTCAATTAAACCTCTCTCCTTAATAAATTACTCAGTCTCAAGGTGTATCTTTACAGCAGTGTGAGAGGGAACTAATACCTGTGTGAAAATAATTTGCTGGCTCCAGGGTGCCTTACCAAGTGAGCTCTGCTTGTTGCCTTCTCTACTTCCTTTCTTTATTTCCATTCTCTTCACTGTCCCTTGCCTTTTTTTCTCTCTTCTTTTAAATTTAATTTTTATTGTCTCTTCCTTGCAAAATAACTCAAAGAGTTTATAAGAATGAGCCAAAAATCAAAGGAGTATTCAGTCAGGAGTCCTCTTATCACTTATAAATAAACATTTGTAAATTGTGATCTTTGAAACTAAATATGTTTTAGGACCTGACTATTGTTTGCAACTGATTTCCTACAATTTTAAATTAAAACATCTTTCTATGTTATTGTACTCTTCTTATATTTTTTAATTCGATGTCATTTTTATGCATCATATTTTTATAACCTATTTCCAATTATGAGATGTTTAGGTATTTTTTTCTAATTTTTCTCCTACTAAAAATAAGAGGCATGAAAATCCTTGCAGAAACTATTTTTTTCCTAAAAAATCATAATTATTGTTTTGGAAGTTCTAGAAGAGAATTTTTAGCATTACATGAGATTCATATTTTCAGAGCTTTGATATAAAGTGCCAAATTATTTTCTAGAAAGATTGTTTCACTTTACACTATTCTCAACACTGTTTGAAAATGCACATTTTCTCCCTTACATAATCACACTACCTGATCTTAAAATAAAAATTTGATAGTCAGAAAATAAAAATAGTTGGTCATAATTTACATGCCTTTGCTTATTAATTAAACTGAATATTTTTTGTATGTTTGTTGGTCAATTTTATATCTCCATTTGTACATTTCTTATTTATATCTTTTGTTTATTTATTTCTATTTGTCCCTTTGGGCAATATATTTTCTTCTTCTTCAACTATAAGGGCTTTTTACTCGGAAAAAAAATTAACCTTTTATAATCTCATATTTTTCCCATTTATTTCAGTTTATCATTTACATTTTATTTTTATTGAGATTTAAGAGCACTACAGTTTTAGTTTTTTGATGTTCATTTGTTTCTTTGTTCTAAGGTTGTTGCCTAGAGCTACATGCCTGAAAGGGCCTTTATTATCCCCATTTTGTATAAATATATACCCATTTTATATTTTCCTTTTTTTGTCCTTCTCGCTGCTAAGTCTGTCCAGCAAAACCTCATTGTGCAATTCTGATATCCCTGACAGAATTTTATGTCAGATATTTCGAAAAGGGAGGTAAATTCACAAGATCCTTAATTTTTTAAATTAAAATGTTTTAAAATATTATATAGTCATGCTCTTTTTCTGCCCTGCTTATCATCAAAAGAATTCATTACCAACTTTTTATATGAGTTTCTGAATCAGAATTTGGAGAGATGTTTCTCTCTGTACAGCCTTTCAAATGTTCACAGTTGCTAGAGAGCTGGAAAGTTAATAAATTAGCCCTAATAAGACTTTTATTTATATCACATTTGATTTTCTCATCACTCCCTCTTGAGGCACCTGGAACTGCTCTATTGGGAATATAACTCATCCATAAAAAAGAATCATGATCCATGTGTTTCGACACATGGAAGAAAACACAACCAACCACATTGCTGCATTTGCTCTTTGGCTGTGAGAACCACTTTGGTCTGGGGGGACGCATGAGGGTTTGGATATAAGGAAGCCACGAGGCTGGATTCCAATTCTGTAACTACCTGGCTGTGACCTTGGGTGAGTGTACTTGTCAGAGATCCATTTCCTCAGACATCACTATTAATACCCACAATATAACCAACAGTTACTGAGCCACAACTCTGTGCCATGCACTTAGTGTGCTTGAACTCATTCAATCCTCACCATAACCCAATGAAGCAGGTACAATTTTTGTCCCCATTTTACAGAGGAGGAAACTAATGCAGGGAGAGAGAATCTTGCACAGTTACACAGCTGGACAGAAGAGGCGCAAGCATTTTGATGGTAGAATCTATGAGCGTAATGCATCTGAATGTGTAAACATCAAGGGACACGTTTGCTTGGTGCATGCAGAGAAGGAAGTCGATAAGCATTAGCCTCCTTCTGTCCCTAGGGTGACAATCTTCCTCTTACCTCGCACAGTGGCCAGCTCGCCATCCACATGAGCCATGCGCTGCATGGCCGTAGCCCCGACGCATATTGGCATGGTGACCCTCTGTCCTAAAACAGACGTCGACAGGTCTGTTTCAGCAACATTTCGGAGCATCCTTGGATACAGCTTCCATCTTTTAAAAAATAGGGGGCTTTAGCATTTCAAAAACATAACCAGAACTTTGACATAACATTTTAGTTAAAAAGAAAAAATATCATTGGATTTTTTTTCCATCAAGCAAATGACTTTATAAAGCTATTGAAAAAGAGGAAGTTTTACTGTTTGTTAGGATAGAAAGTTAACAATTAAAGGGTAATGCATTTTCCACACAATTATTTATTAAAGTATAATTAACATATAATAATATTCACCCATTTTAGCGTACAGTTTTGTAAATTTTGACAAATGCATACCGTGGTGTAACTGCCACGACAATCAAGATCTAGAAAAGTTCAGTCATTCCCAAAAATGTCCCCATTTTCTTTTGCAGTGAAACTCTCCCCAGTTCAATCCCCTGACAACCACTGATGTATTTTTTCTTTGCCCCGATAATTTTGCTTTGCAAGAATATCATGTAAACAGAATCACACACTATGTAGTCTTTTGAGTTTAGCTTCTTTCACTTAACATAACACCTTAGAGACTTTCTCATGTTGTTGTATGTATCAATAGTTTGTTCCTTTTGGTTGATGAATAGTATTCCATTATACAGGGGTACCATCATTTGTTCAATCACTCCCAAGCTAAAAGACATCTGGAATAGTGCCACCTTGGGGGGCAATTCTAAATAAAGCCACTACGCACATTCACGTACAGGTTCTTGTGTGAACGCAGTTGACATTTCACTTCCCCAGTCTTGCAGATCAAGATGGTATAAAAGCGCAAGAGTTTAGATCAGAGTTTAAGGAGATATGCTATGTCTAATTTGTCTTCTTTTTATGTAATTAACAGCAGATTCTGGCAATTACTTTTAAAATAATAATTTGGTTTCTTCAAAATTATTTAGCTGTATGCTGCATCCATTAAAGTGTAATGAAGAAGTAAGGGGCTTTTTTTAGTTTAATTGAACACTTTTCTCAAAAATGTTATTTGACAAAAACTGCAATTTGGGGGTTAAAAAATATTTTTGAGTCCTGAACAGTTTTTTAATGACTGTTTCTGTGAGTCTTCTGTGTTGGAATGAAAATTACAGACAAATCAGCAACCAAAAATTTACCAGTAAAATTTACAGGAGAACTAGTTCTCTTTCTTCTTGGCAAATTTATATCTCCTATTTGTTTGGATTTATTATTCTCCTCATTAGTACTGATTAAAACTGAAGAAAATACAGCCCTATTTCTAATATGCGTCTGTATAATAGACACGTTGTATAAGCACACATGCATATCTAACCAGCATTCACCTAGTTTTAACTCTTTGCCTAGATTTAACTCTCCCTCCAGAGATAGCGTGACCTCCTAGCAAATATAGTGAAGTATGATATGGCAATGCAGTAGCAACAAAAAGAAAAAAAAAAGAAGAAGAAGAAAAAGAAAAAGCCCTTAATTGTACGTATTTCCTGTAGCAGAAGAAGAAATTCTGCCTTATGTTGCCTTGTGGAATAACTAAGGGTCTGTAATCTAACCCTTCCTCACATAATAAAGTAAAAACATCCAGTCCCTGAAAAGCATAATAAAGAAGTTTTACTGTGTGATTTCTATGCTATTCCTTTGAACATCATAATTGTCATTATTTTATGTCACACCACATGCTCTGTTGCTGAAAGTCTTTTCTTCTTGACGGACCCTCACAGCGTGATTCTTTGATCTCCATTTGGAAGGGGGAGAAGCAGAAGCCTTGAAGAGAGTTTTTATTACCAATCATCTCTAAGTGTGTTGTTATTAGAATGAGAGAAAACGATTTTAATGGCAGCCATTGGCATGCCAGCCTTGGAAGGCATTAATATTTACTTAGAGCTAGAGAAACAACGAAAGCTTTTATGACAAGAACACACAAAGCTGCAGGGCAGCAGGGGTGTGTGTGTGTGTGTGTGTGTGTGTGTGAGAGAGAGAGAGAGAGAGAGAGAGAGAGAGAGAGAGAGAGAGAGAGAGAGAAAAGGGGCATTTTTAAAGGTCAATTTCCCATTTGTAAAGCAAGGCTCAATCCTTCAGTCTCCAGACAGCAGCTTTACACTTGTCCGCTTGGTGGCGCAGTCACTTTAATAACTGTGGGCTCTTACTGTAAACAGTATTTTCTGTTCTGAGGATGTTACAGAGACTTGTCAACCAATGCACAAAATGCAATTCCTACGTACATTTAGATAAAATCAATGGAATGGGAAAATGTATGTTATCTAAAGAGTCCTCCACGTTTTGATGCTTTTCAAATAGCCATCACAACAATTGTGTCAACTTAATAGTTTTCCAAGCGTTGCCCAACCCCACCCTACATTCAATCATACATAAAATACTACCTCACTATATCCTCAGACTGTGCTCTCCTGGACCTCCAATTTGGAAAAAGAATATGACTACTGGCAAACAGTTGAACCAACTGAATAATAAACCTTTTTCAAAGGGTGAAAAATGAGATGACAGAGTCGAGGAAGTGGGGTTAAGGTGAGAATCTGTTCACAGGACTTTTAATCCACACTTTACATCTAACAAAGGCCTCAAATTTAACTTCTTAAAACATCAGTTGATATTCACACTCTTCACAAAGTAGCTGCTCTGCTGAAGGAAGACACTCATGTCTCACATCTGCATGCTGTTTCTGAATCACATCAACTGAACAGAGTGGATTAATGTTTTATAAGTTATGTAATGCTATAATATTTCATTCCAATTTTCTCCATATTAATCTTTTACTCTAAACACTTAAAAGCTATAAATCAAAAAGCACCTTATTCACCTGTTGTGTTACTAGCTGAGTGATTTTGTAACATTTACTCCTGTGAGAACACAATGTCACAGCTAAGTTCATATCACTTCTCAAATATTAAAGCGAGAGAATGACATCACTTTACCCATCTGTTATTTAAAAGAAAATAATGCAGTCTTTAGTATCAACAGGTGATACAACAATAAAGAGTTTCCTTTTCTGAAATTATGAGGGCTTCTAAGTGTCCAAATTGTTGAATTACCTTCCATCAATGATAATTTAAAAAAAAAAAAACCCTACAACAAATGCGAAGACCATAGTTGAGAAGGCCACTTTTAATTAATGTGTAAGAGAAACAAATTACTGTTCTTCAAATTAACACCAATCAATTCAGGCCATGAAAAATGTAGCAAGTCGACATTTGCCCTGTTTTGTTACAACTGCAATAAAAAATTTTGTTCTTCTGGGTGGTTCCATTTATTTGTCCTTTTTAACTTTTTTTTCTACTTCCACAGTAATATTGGAGTCTCAAGTCTTACCCAGAAATATCTCCAAGCAACTGCTGGGTCACGTTGAGTGGCCCATATCCCCAGAACTGAGTATAGAGAAATGAAAGTTGTCACTATGAATGACACTTGGTAGTACTTGTGAGATGGGGGGAGTATAAATTTTGTAAATGTGTTTGAAATACTCTGACCTTGTATCACAATGGGTTATCTGAGGTTTGAGTGTTTTGCATTTTTCATTAAAATCAGAATGTGAAATTCCAGGTTGATTTCCTTCATGCCATCAACCCAAAGCCTCCACAACCCTGGCAGAAAGTCTATTCTTAGTTTCACATTACCAGCTACATGATACAGTGTGAGGAATCAAGGGTCACCTAGCGACTCACACAGCACAATAGGAATTGAGATATTAGCTAGGTAACAACCCCTAAAATTTGTTGTGATAAAAACTCAAGCAGTTGATAATAAAATAGCATCAGTTGTCCTCCAAAGAAAATTAATCGGCCGGGCGCGGTGGCTCAAGCCTGTAATGCCAGCACTTTGGGAGGCTGAGACGGGTGGATCACGAGGTCGAGAGATCGAGACCATTCTGGTCAACATGGTGAAACCCCGTCTCTACTAAAAAAAATACAAAAAATTAGCTGGGCACGGTGGTGCATGCCTGTAATCCCAGCTACTCGGGAGGCGGAGGCAGGAGAATTGCCTGAACCCAGGAGGCTGAGGTTGCGGTGAGCCGAGATCGCGCCATTGCACTCCAGCCTGGGTAACAAGAGCGAAACTCCGTCTCAAAAAAAAAAAAAAAAAAAAAAAAAAAGTTAATCAATTCTTTCTTTTTGTTAGTTTAAAGCTGAACAAAAGAGAATGATCAAGGTTCATGGAAAAGGTGGCATTGCACATTCATTTTCATTATCAGTGTCCTGTCCCTAAGTTACTTGGTACACACATAGGATGGGGATACTCACTTGAATACCATGTAATTCACATAAGGCATGAGGCACTTATCCAGTTTACAACTTGGAAGTCACCAAGCCTTCTATGTCTCCCAAAGTTTCTACAATTTATAAGGTTGTATAGGTGATCCATCTGCTTTGAGGCACCCCTTTGTATCCTCTTTGAGACCTCCACTTGGCCAACTATTTTGGGCCCATTTTGCATCATTTCAACCCAACGGCATTTTGGAGGTTGATGCATCCACTGGAATGTAAGCTCCTATAGACAGAAACTTCGTCTGGTTCATTGCTTTTCCTCAGCACGTAGTACATAGTGTAGCTCATGGAGACTTCTTTTTTTTTTTTTTTTTTGAGACGGAGTTTCGCTCTTGTTACCCAGGCTGGAGTGCGATGGCGCGATCTCGGTTCACCGCAACCTCCGCCTCCTGGGTTCAGGCAGTTCTCCTGCCTCAGCCTCCCGAGTAGCTGGGATTACAGGCACACGCCACCATGCCCAGCTAATTTTTTGTATTTTTAGTAGAGACGGGGTTTCACCATTTTGACCAGGATGGTCTCGATCTCTTGACCTCGTGATCCACCCGCCTCAGCCACCAAAAGTGCTGGGATTACAGGCTTGAGCCACCGCGCCCGGCCGCTCATGGAGACTTCTAATTATCCCTGGTTAATTAGCTAGCATGGGACAAAGGGAATTAAGAAGTGAGGAAGGCTAGGCATAAATGAAATAGACACTTGAGCATTGGAGTCCTGGCAATGCTGAGACACTAACCCTTTAAATCTGTCAAGGGTCTGAAGTTTCCTTGGTTGTAATGACCTATTTGGTCTGAAGTTTCCTTGGTTGTAATGACCTATTTCGTTTAAGGTGTTTTCAGACCACTCATAGGCAAATCACATTACTTGGTGGACAAAGTTAACATTGGCCTGAGAAGGGGCATCTTCCAAGAGCAGAAACTTTTAAATGAGCCCAAAATAGTAAATAATGGTGCAGAATTCTAAGCTCCTCTACTCTCAGTCATCTTCCCTTCCCATGACATCCCTGGCATTTGCTGAGCTCATTTGGGTTCCAGGAGAAACCTCAGACAAAGTCAAGGCTTGGAAGGTTTGGGGAGAGGACCTGTCCTTTACCCCATTGCCATTCTCCATCTTCTACATAGATTTGTGGGTGAACCAGTGCTGCCTACCAGGGACCACCTTGGTCAGGATAATTTTATTTCTCCTAATTTAAATATAGAAAACTGATTTTGAGTGATTTTGTTGTAGACTAAAGAAGAAATCACGGAGGAAGGTGGATTCTCTCCCCCTGCATAAGTTCTGCCTTTTTGACTTTAAATTATCACCATCAATGAGTTCCCACAATACTGATTGCCTTTACTAACAGCCATAATGTTAGATGGATGAGACTGAAAGAGTGGAGTGAAGTGAAGATTCCCCTCTCTTGCTCCAGCAAATAAACCATTTTTGTAATTGCTAAAAAAAAAAAAAAACTTTGAAATTATTTTATTTATTGCTTTTATTACAAACAGAAAACATAAACCATGTCACTCACCATATTGTGCCTTGAAATATGAAAGTCCAAGGAAAACTAATTTGGGAAGAGAGATGAAGTGCTTTGAAGGAGGGATGTAACAGCAAGCTTGAAAGATTAATGCTACATAGACAAATGGAAATCTAAAGAGAAAGTTTAGACAACAGTAATCAAAATGAATGATAACACATAAAGCCAGCAGGAAGAGAACATTTGAGCCAGTGGTCCGATCTGGTTCATCCAGATAAGATGGTTATCTGGCATTTAATGCTGTTTCCTACACCATAAACACAAGCACTCGCTGTCATACTAGGAAAAAGAAAAGTCATCTGAATTTATTGCTATTTTTATATGCAGTTAAATTAATTGTTATCATACTTCCAAGTGCAGTAACATAGGGTTGGCTTTTGCAGTCAATTGTTCAAGATTCACAGGCTTGGGATATTTTTTTTCAACAATTTGAAAGCCCAGGATTTCTTTCAGCCCCAAGAATTTTCCCCTCCCTACTAAGCACAAATCTGAACAAACAATTCCACACCACCAATGTAAAACTAGAAGATCTTATTGTGGTACAGTCTTTGCATAATTTTAAAACATTATTTTAAAAATGAATTTTCTTACCTGGAAAATGCTGCAATATTATCAGCCAAAGTTTCTTCATCATTTGCCCCAGACCTATAATAGTCATATATAGACTTTGGAAGTACTGATTTAGCATGCTGTTCGTAATCATTGATACAAACCAGCCGGGGGAGCATTTTCACGGGTTATTGGATCCCAGATGTTGGTTTTTTTTTTTTAATGTATTGCCTTCTACGTCCTCACTGTTCTGTTATTTGTCAATTATTAATAGACTTTTGCCAAAGTTCAGATTTAGTCCTCTGTTGCTTACATCAAGTGAGCAAACATTATATGCTTAGCCTTTGAAATTTCATTTGCAGGCTATCTGCCAAAGAACATCAAAGTCACTATCTGCCAAAGAACACCAAAGTTGGGGCTGGGGAGGCAGCATAGGTGATTAGGTGTCTGTCACGTTAAAAAGGGCAAAGGAATAAGTCAAATGTTAAAGACTTAGCGGACTTAGAGGAGTACCCGTATAAAAGCACTCTTGGTTAGGTTTGGCCCGAGTTTGCTTCTTCCACATGATCTGTGCCTGTGCTCCTTGTGTGATACCCAGAATGGGCTGCCCACTCATTTTCCTTCCACATTTCAATCATGCACAAATCATGTAAACAAGAGTTTATGAACCGAATGGGGCATCCAGGAAAGATGGGTATTCCATGAAATTGAGGGCTTCTGCACAGTATAAAATTCAGCTGATTACAAACATAAACACAATTTTAAAACATGATTTAAAAAAAATAAATTTTCTTACCTGGAAAATGCTGCAATATTGTCAAAGTTTCTTCATCGTTTGCCCCAGACCCATAATAGTCACATATAGACTTTGGAAGTACTAATTTAGCATGTTGTTCATAATCAAAATTACAGCTAAGTTTTTTTTATTCATTCTGTATAGTTGAGGTTTACAACATGACGTTATGATATACATGTACATAGGAAAATGGTTACAATAGTGAGGCAGATACAACATATCTATCATCTCATGTAGTTCCTTTTTTGTGTGTATGACAAGAACACCTAAAATTGACTTAACAAAAATCCCTAATACAGTACAATTTTATTAACTTTAGTCCTCAAGTTGCACATTAGCTCTCTAGACCATGGGTCCCAAACCCCTGAATGTGAACTGATACCAGTCCATGGCCTGTTAAGAACTGAGCTGCACAGCAGGAGGTGAGCAGCCCATGAGCAAGTATTATGACCTGAGCTCCGCCTCCTGTCAGATCGGCAGCAGCATTAGATTCTCATAGAAGCATGAACCTTATTGTGAACTGCACATGTGAGGAATCTAGTTTGCATCACTCCTTATGAAAATCTAATGCCTGCCAGGCGCGGTGGCTCATGCCTGTAATCCCAGCACTTTGGGACGCCAAGGCAGGTGGATCACGAGGTCAAGAGATCGAGACCATCCTGGTCAACATGGTGAAACCCCATCTCTACTAAAAATACAAAAAATGGGCTGGGCATGGTGGCACATGCCTGTAATCCCAGCTACTCAGGAGGCTGAGGCAGGAGAATTGCTTGAACCCAGGAGGCGGAGGTTGCAGTGAGCCAAGATTGCACCATTGCACTCCAGCCTGGGTAACAAGAGCGAAACTCCGTCTCAAAAAAAAAAAAAAGAAAATCTAATGCCTAATGATCTGAGGTGAAAGTTTCATTCCTAACCATCCACCTACTCCCACCATCTGTGGAAAAACTGTATTCCACAAAAATTATATTCCACAAAACTTGTCCCTGGTGCCAAAAGAGTTAGAAACCCTGTTGTGGACTCATGCGTCCTACATATCTGCTATTTTGTATCCTTTGAGCTATATCTCCCCATTTCCTCTCCTCTGCTTCCCACTAGTGGTAATCACTGTTTCATTCTGTAGCATTCTGCATCTGAGGTATTTTTTAAAACAAAATCCCACATGTAAGTGAAATAATGCAGTAGTTTCCCTTTTGTGCCTGATAATGTTCTCTGGGTTATCCTGCATATGGCAGGATCCCATTCTCTTACAAGGCTGAATAATATTCCATTGTATATATACCTATACATTTTCCTTATCCATTTGTTTCTCAATGGGCATTTAGATTTATCATTAATTCTTTTTTTTTTTTTTTTTGAGGCAGAGTCTTGCTCTGTCACCCAGGCTGGAGTGCAGTGGTGTGATCTTGGCTCAGTATAGCCTCTGCCTCCTGAGTTCAAAAGATTCTCCTGTCAGCTTTTCAAGTAGCTGGACTACAGGCATGTGCCCCCACATTTGGATAATTCTTTTTTTTTTCTTAGTAGAAAAGGGGTTTCACTATGTTGGCCAGGCTAGTCTTAAACTCCTGACCTCAACTGATGCACCTGCCTTGGCCTCCCAGAATGCTGGGATTGCAGGCACGAGACACCCCACCCAGCCCACCAATAATTCTTAGAGTCTTATCTTGCTCTGGAGAGGGTATAGGGAAGTGCCATTCCAAAAAAACCTGTGGTCTCAATCTATAATTTCATTAAATCATGGAACACCTGGGGAAGATTCACATTAGTAAGATAGGCTTGAGAAAGCAATGATGTTAACTACAGTCAGACCTGAGTTTCAATCTAGGAACCTCCACTTAAATCTGCTTGCCAGCTCTTCACTATCTAAATTCCAACCACCTACATCTGTAGGAGAACTTGCTCTTAAACTTGGAGCCTGCTTTTCCATAAACATAGCATGCCAAGCAGTATAGTTTCAAATTTGGTGCATAAATACCCCAAATTTCTCATTCCTCTGGTGGGATTATTCCTAGGTTTGTGTTCTACATTGCAGGTTTCAATTGTCCAGTGTGAGCTGATTGATAATCTACCTTGTGTTGCTGCCTTCCCTTCTAATCAGACTTCCCTACACCTCAGTGGTGCTTCCTCTACCTCCCAAATAAACTCCTTGCATTTGAATGCTTGCTTTTCAGTCTCCTTTCGGTGAAACTCAAACCAGGACAAGGAGGAATATTCATCCCTACCCTGAGCAGTGACTGTGAGGACAAAAGATATATGGTCGGTGAAACACTTGGCATGTAGTAGGCACAGTTGACCTTTGAACAAAAAAAGGTTTGAACTGCAAAGGTCCACTTACGTGTACATTTTCCTTAGATTCTTTCACCCCTGAGACAACAAAACCAACTTCTCTTCCACCTCTTCTTCATTCTACACAATGTGTAGATGAGGAGGATGAAGAGTTTTGATGTTCCACTTACACTTTATGAATAGTAAATATATTTTCCCCTCCTTACAATTTTCTTTTGCTAGCTTGCAAATATATTCTTACAGTATATAATACATGTAACATAAAAAATATATGTAAGTTGATTTTGTTATTCGTAAGGCTTCCAGTAAACAGTAGGCTATTAGTTGTTAAGGTTCGGGGTAGTCAAAAGTCATACACAGTGGGTCGGTACTTCTAACCCCCATGTTAAATGGTAAACTGTATTTCTTTAATATTACCCACCCTCATCATCTCAATATACTTTACCAACACATTTTTCCAAAAGACTTTTGTTTAACGTCAATTATATAAGGATAATTCTCTAACGTACAAGAAATCGGACAGAGATTCTTGGGCTTCTGGAAGGCCACTGCCATTTTTCTTCCAGTAACTTAATCCCTTTGAGTATTTCTTTGCTAGGTTTGCAATTAGTCCAATTGATTTCCTACACCCTCAAGAGAAGTGTCTTTCATAAATAATATATATTTATATAATCGGATCTTTTTGAAAACTGCCTTATCCCATGCCGTATGAGGCTTTATATGGTAGAAAGGATAGGGTGTAAAATTATGTCTTACTGTGGGTAAGTATCCTTTGAGTTTTTTTGGAGAAGGAAAATCATCTAAGATGAAGAATACTAAGGAGCTCAGTATGTAATCTCTGACTTAGTTTTGACCTGGGGCCACAGAGAGAATGCAGAGCACAGTCACCGATTATATGAAATTCCCATGCTGTGGGTCACCAAAAGGAGCAGGAGAGAGGATATAATCAAATCTACTTTGAATACTGACAAGGTAAGTAGAAACCAAAGATGGAGGCTCCATAGCAGCCTATTGGGCAAACTCGGAATGAACCAGAACCAAAAATATAAGCCGGTAGGTCATTCCCAGCCATAATGGTAGATATGGCATACAAAAAATAAAAATTTTTAATTTAATCAAAGGGACATGCTGTTAAATTGACATTGAATTTTATGGTACATAGGTTTGTTCTCAAAGTTCACAAATGCTTACTTTTTGCATCAGTATAGTGATAGATAAAATGACATATTAAAATTGCTATTAGAATGTGAAAAATCTGCTAATAGGATAAGCAAGTTCTAAGTAACTCCGTTTTATAGTTAACAAAGCCATTATGAAAATGTGGTCAAAGGGATCTTAATTACTGCTTAAAACCAATTCAAAATTTCCAGATTAAAGTACGCCCTTTTATTTGCACATTTATGTGCAAATTTAGCATTTATTAAAACAATTAGCATCCTGCAACTAATGTAATTAGAATGAAGAGGCAATCAATTATTCTTAATTAGGTCAAGTACTGGTGAAACTAAAGAAGACACATCACGGCCAGTGGTTCTCAAAGTGTGGCTGTGAACCAGCAGCATCAGCATCAACTAGGAAGTTATTAGACATGCAAATTCCAGGCCTCATCCTAGTCCTACTGAATCAGAAACTTGACAGCTATTCATGCTGTAATAAGCCTTCCAAGTGATTCCATGCACAATTTTGTTTGAGGACCATGGTTTGGCCAAGACGGAATGTAAAGGGGAACTTTTTCTTAAGAGGCATATTCTTTTTAATAATCTCAAATTTTATCTGAGATACCAAGGCACATATGCAGCTTTGTTACCTGGGGACATTGCATGATGCTGATGTTTGGGGTACAAATCTTTTCACAGGTAGGGATCACAGTACTTGATAGGTAGTTTCTCAATCCATTCTCCCTTCCCTGCCTACCCACTCTAGTAGCCTCAGCGTCTGTTGTTCTCATATTTATGTCCATGCATGCTCAATGTTTAGCTTCCACTTCTAAATGAAAACATGCAGTATTTGGTATTCTACTCCTGCTTAATTTACTTAGGATTATGGCCTCCAAACTGTCTCCATGTTGCTGCAAAGGACATTATTCCATTCTTTTTTATGGCTGCATAGCATTCCATGGAATATATGCTCCACATATCCTTTATCCAATCTACCATTGATGAGCACCTCTGTTGATTCCATATATTTGCTATTGCGAATACTGCTGCGGTGAACATATGAGTGTATGTGTCACTTTGGTAGAATAATTTATTTTCCCTTGGGTATATACCAGTAATGGTATTGCTGAGTTGAATAGCAGCTCTATTTTAAGTCCTTTGAGAAATCTCCAGACTG